AGCCTTCTTCAGATTTCCAGCATCCAGCACTGGATAATAAATTTCTGTCATTTTGGACACTTACCTGTTTGTAATGGTTGCCCTAGCAAACCGATATAACCCTGAATTCTGCAAAGAGTTCAGTAAACAAAGGCTGACATAATAAAACAGCCATTTCTTAAGATCTCTCTTCTCTAAAAATAAAAAGCCCTGTTCATCTAAATTGACTATATAGTATATATAGTGTACTTAACTATTAAGAACTAGAGTCATCTTATTCAAATTCAAGTAATAATTATGTGGAAAAAAAGGTTTATTGACCTCAGTAAGAAAACCATCTGCTGCAGTAAGCTAGACAGAAGGACTGCCAGGTTGGAAGCGGATTCCATGTTCTGGAAATTTGGCTCTGGTTTCAATTGCTTGTGCTATGAAGAAGGCCAGGAAGAAAGGCAGGGCTGATAACATTTCACTCAACCAAGGAAGACCCTGGCAGAAGGGACAGCCTGACAGAAGTCTTCTAGATCCTTAATGAAAATGTCAAGTAACACATTGCATCCCAAGAAGCGCACAAGAGACTGATGAGTTGATTCCAATTCTGGACCCTACTGGAGGTTTGCAGCAGCCACCGAATATCCTTCAATGTCTATGTAAGACTTTAACATGACAGGTGACTGAAGAAAAGGAACATGTAGAGAACTGAGAGGCTGAGATTTGAAGTTAAGAGTATAAACTGGTTAAATTTTGGTAGATTATTATTTATAAGATTGTGCTAGAATGAAAAAAAATCTTGAAGCCAGTGCCTAACTCTGTGTTATCTCATACAAGCTGCTCTGATGTGTGGCTCTAGAATGAACTTCAAGTGGAAGGACATAAACGGAAGGAAGTGCATTGTGAGAACAGTGCTGTGTTACTGGGCTTACTTCTGATTTGCTTTTGTAATGCACACATAGTGGCCTGACTCTATAGATGAAGTGTTGTGCTAAAGCCCTAAACAAGGAAGAAGGGTTAGGAACTCAGGACCCCTTCCTTCTTTTTCACTGCTCTTCCCTCCTTCCCAATGCTTTTATTCTGTAAACCACAATGACATAGTTCGTTGGAGTCTTTCTCAGAGTATAAAGGTATTAGTATACGCACTCAATGAAAGCATTCTAAACACCTATTATATTCTAAACACTCTTTTGAGGACTGGGCATATAGCAAAGAATAAAACAGATAAAAGCAAAATATGCAAGCAAGCACAACCTCTCTGTGGAGTTTACATTCCAGGAGTGGGAGACGACAATAAGCAACAGACACAATAAGGAAGCAAATTAATTAGTAAGTTAGAAGGCAATTATGTGTTCTGAGAAAACAGAGCTGGCTGGGAAGATGAGTGGGCAGCTGAGCGGGGATGCTCGAGTAGCAGCAGATGGTGATTTCAAGGAAGACAGTCAGGGCAGGACCAATTGAAATGCTGGCATCAGAGCAGAAGGAGACAGTCATGTGAGCATTTGGAGGAAGAGCATTCTAGACAGAGAAGAGCCTGAGCATGTCTGGACAGTCTGAGGAGAGCAAGGAGGCTGGCGTGTGGAACTGTGATGGGCAGCCTAAACAAAGAGGCCAGGCAGCAAGGGGTGTCAGGCTGCAGGCCCCTGTCAGGACATGGGATTTTACTCAGAGACTAGAAGAACCTGAACAGAGAAGTGACATGATCTGCAACTAGGTGTGTTTTAAAAACACAGATTCCACCCTCTTCCTCTCTCTGCACCACTACCCTGGACTGGACCATCATCTCACACGTTGATTCATGCAACAACTTCCTAACAGGTCTCTCTGCCCCTTTTTGCTCTCCTGTATTCTATTCCCAGCACAGCCAGAAATACCACATCAATTTGAGTTTGAAATCAAACCTTACTTTAACTATATAATACAGCAAATCTATAAGGATTATCTAGCTATTAACAGAATCAAAAAAATAGAATTTACAAAATAAATTGACTGCTTGTTTATTTTCAAAAATATTTATCATTTTTAAAGGTAATGACCACATGACTCTTTCAAAGAAAGCACAATGACTCTAGGGTGTGAATCTAAGGCTATGCAGGGATAGAAAATTCACTCAGAGTAGTTTTCACAAAGACAGGACCTTAGGGGGAAAAAAACCCAAATGAGCAACTGGCAACTAGAAATCAGCTACAAAGAAGACAAAACATTTCTTCAGTAGGAACATAAACCAGAAAAAAAGGGCATGTTTAAAATTAGATCCTTGTGCATTTTAATTGGCATCCATCTAAAGAATAATTATATCTCACAGTTTAGTGCGGCCTACAACCAGTTGCTGAATTCTCAGCTGCCCTTACACTCTTGCAATGCTCTTAGCTGCAAGTGTGCTAGTCTTAAAAGCTGAGGTCTATACGTGAGGCAAACAAGGTGTGCATGAGTGTAACTGTAGACAGCAGGTGCTGGAGAAAGCCTTCTGAAATTATGCAGTCTGTTTTCTGCCTTGTGGCAGTAGTACACACTACCCAAATCAGAGCATTAATGGACTGCTCTGCTTAGGAGAGATGACAGGCAAGTGGCTTATTTTTACAAATCTCTGGTGAAAAGGCTCCTGCTGTACTCTGACTGCATCACCTCTAGGGTAGTAAGAAAGCAAATTCCTACTTACTCTAATGTTCAGTCCAGGTGGTCATTATCAATCATCCCTTATATTCAATTTTTGGAGAAGCGGTGAAACAATAAATAAAATAATCTTCCCAAAGCAGACTGTGATAAATGTCTATTATTATACATAATAATGAGAAATATTTAAGAGGTAAGGGATTGTTTTTAGCAATAACGGTAATATTATTTATTATAAGTATCAAATATAGTTAATCTTGGTATTGTTAGAAAAATATTTGAAAATAAAATAATGGAAACTAATTTCACTTTATTAAAAAAAA